TCAGGTTCCTTGGGGGGTACATGCCAACCTCTGCTTCTTCAAGGGTGACAAAGCTCGAAGGGGGGCAGGAGGCCCTGCCACTCACTTGCTATAGGACCCTGATCACTTCCTGCCTTGGGCCCAGTACCCTCTGATCAACCTTGCCTGGTCCTGTCTTCCCCAAGGACTCCCAAGGACTTCTAGAAAGCTCACACTCAGGAAGGTAGGGTTCCCAACCTGGAGACTTCAGCAAAGCTGAGGCCTGGAGGGCTAGGGTCTCTTGGGACCACCTGTTCTCCCAGGCATAAGCAAGATCAGATATGACCTATCTGCTTAGGCCCAGTCCCTCCCATTCCCTCTGTCCTGTTTCAGCTCTGCTCCTGTCTATCCTTGATCTGAGCCTTAAGATCTGCTCTGGGGTGCGGGGGGGGGGTGCCCAGATATCTCTCCAGTTGCGTTCCTTCCTAAGGATGACCTGAGATAAGCCCGTATCTACAAAATGGCAAGAGTAGCTTAGGGCTCAGAGCTCTGGCTCCAGGAATGAGTTGAAATTCCATTCCTTCCCTCAGGTCACTCTTACACAGCCCCAGAAAGGCTCCCACCCTGCTACATCACAGCAGGCAATCTCAGAGCTCTGGGTAATGTCCCCTAAGTGGATCCTTATCTCACTCTCTGCACTTTTTCCTAGATCCTACCTTAGGAGGGCTCCTTACCCCTGAGGCCCCCAGGATCTCCCCTCCTCCCTCCTCCCATGTCCTTTTACTCTGGTTCGGCGCCAGTCATCCCAAGGCTCAGCCGCCATGTTTCTAGTCATCAATACATAACACAGTATGAGGCCCAGGACCCGCCTGAGTGCCCCTTAGATAGATGTTAAGTACCCAAACCCTCACACAGCCACCCATTCCTAGGCAGGCTGTTCACATCCATACCCACCTGCAGTTGAGTCTGAGAAAGGCTGGGGGCTCCTTGTGGACAGGACCAGCAGCAGCAGGCACTGTCCGACAGCCTCACCCCCTCATGTTATAGTGACATCTGATCTTCCCTGGCAGCCCATTGGCCAGCAGATGGGTGGCTGGGGTATGGGGAGGGGGAGGGTGTGCCCAAGCAGGCCCCTGACCAAGTATAGGAATGCCCCAGAGGAGGAGGCCCAAGGAGGCAAGGATGGAGGAGACATGCCTGGAGGAGGAGGCAAGGTCCCCAACTGTCCTAGAAAGGTGCCAGTTGCTATTTTTACCTACCCCCTCCCCCCGCGGCAATGGGCACATGCTTGATGGACTGAGGGAGGGAGGAGGAATAGATTAGATGGAGCCAAAGACTGTGCTGAGCCCGGCTGGTATTGGGGAGTGGTCATCAGAGTTTGGGTTTCAAGTTCCTTGGCCCCCTGCTCCTCTGCCCAAGGTGGCTCGTAGGAGTGGGAACTTTGCTCAAGATAGGATCTAATTCCATGTGGCACCCCTGTAACTCTGCCCTATGTCTCCACCATAGAGACAACTCAAAACACCCACAGAACGAAGGACCTTGGATCCTTGGCCAGTATTGCACCAAACCTCTTAGAAACCAGGCCTATTTTTTCAAGTGGACACCACTGGAACATATAACAAGAGAAATGATGACCTAAACCCTGTGGTGGTTGTTGATCTTCCCCACTGGGGAAGGCTGGGTCATGTTTGGGCCTGTTTTTGGTCCAGGGGTTCTGTTCTAAGATGTTGAGACCTAGGCTCTATTGGGTTCTAAGCAGTCCTGGCCATGTGCCTGGCCTTTCTTTCCTCAAGACTCCAGGGGGCACCATCCAACCATGGACACCTCTCCTGGGCCTTGTGTGCCTGGATAGCTCTGCCTTTAGGGAAACTAAAGCACCAAGTAGCAAGAGACCAACTTGGCACTTCCTACTCACTTCCTCAACTCTCCCAGACCCCACGGGTTGGGCATGACAGGTAAGGCCCATGGATCTGTCCAGTTCAGGACAATGTGAAGTATAAAGTAATGGTAGGTGAACCCCAGGGGACACAGACAGGGCTCCTGTTCTTGGCGTCCTAGGGTTAGAGACAAGCTGGATCTTTGCGTATCTGGAAGGTTGGGACTGACCCACCAACCACTTCCTACATGTTGGAGATGGGACCATAGAGTACCAGAGACACACAAGACCCACCTTGTAGTCTAAAGCAGGGTGGAGCCAGTCTTCTAGCCTGCTGGCTCACAGAACAGGGCCTCTCTCCTTCTCTCCTCTGCTCCAAGCGCCTGCTCCTTAGAGGTCCCTCAAAGCTGGAGTTGCTGGGCTACCCCAACCTTCCACAGTCACCCATGTCCTTGGATAGATAGGGTTCAGTGAACTCCAAATAACACGGATGCCCAGTTCAATTTGCCCTTGGAGGTCATGTAGAGTTTATGAAGCCCCACACTGGTGCCAAGGGGACTCTAAATCTCTTCTGTGCTAAGGTCAGCCTCCCTTTCATCAGGTTTTAACCGAAACAAAGCATATCCCGCAGTTGAGGAACACAGAGAGCAGACACGAGGGATTTGGTCCAGTCTGTAGTGTTTGAAGCCCTACAACCAGAAGCTCTTTTGTCTGAGAGGAATGGGGTTCCTCAGAGGTCTGTAGGAGGGTATACTATTGTCTCTGTAATGGCTCCTTATGGCCAGCAGGGGAGGGTGGCTGCCCACTTCAGAAGCCTTTGGCAGGCACTTGCAGTGAGGTCAGAGAGACAGGGCAGGTCTTATTTTGGGTAACAGTCATCTCCTTCTCAGGGGACCAGGCCCAAGGTACAGCAGGACAGTACAGAGTGGGCACTGCTGGACCTGTTGCTGCCGGCCACTAAAGACTTGAGCAGGTAACACATGCCAGGTAATACACAGCAGGTCCTACTTGGCTTGGCTGGGGCTCAGGGAGCAGGGGAGACAGAGCAAAAGGCTCCCTGGGGATCTGGGAGAGGACTGGAGACCCTGGTGGAGGTGGGGGACAAAGTCTGTTGGATGGGTGCTGGACTTCTACCCAGGAGACTGAGAAGAAGTGGAGTTTGAGGCTTCACAGACTGGTTGTGAAGGATCCCTCAAAGTTAGTGAATGAAGAACTTAGCCTAACGGACAGAGGAGGTTGAGAAGGGCCTGTCTTTCCAGTGTTTTGGCTCCAGTAGCCAATATGGGTGACTCTCAGGATAGTGGGGTGCTCAGAGGCCATTCAGACTGGGAGTGTAAGAGCCCCTGGACCCTGAGCCTTACCCAGTACCCCTAGTTGACCCACTGTGGCTAGCTCTGCCAAGCCCAGGATAGGACTGGCTGACGTGGCACTTGGGACTCAGCCGCTGTGATCCGGGCAGCAGCTGCCTCCATGCATGACAGCTCCTCCTGGTTCTAAAAACACAGATTGGCTCTACAGGTATTAGGGCACTTCTGGGTCCGTGGGACTTCACTTTGAGCAGGACCTGGAGGAAGAAACCCCAGCTATTGGAGTCAGGCAGAAAGATGGAAGGGCAGTGTCCTAGTGTCTTTGGCAGGGTGGGCAGTGTTATAGCAGGGGGTAGACTCCATACCTGAGACCCACGCAAGATTTAGCAGAGTTGTACTTAGCACACCTTGCACTCTCCTCCCGAGGCCCAAGAGGCTGGGCAAGTCAGGGGAGCATGATGCAATAAACACTTTTTCCTCTGTCATTTGACATATCCATTCTGGTCCTACACTAGTATCTCACTCCCTGTCCCCTTAAGGACCTTGAAACAGCTTCTGCCCTTGGTCACTTCCTCATCTGAGTAGAAAGGGCAGGGAGTGTCCTGTGTCCTGGGAAAAGCTTCTGATTGAGCAGAGTGGAGCTCTGCATCTACATCATGGTGAGGCTGTGAGCAGGGCCGGGGCCATCAACCTGTGTGCCTCAGCAGCTCTATCTGTTCAACATTAATATTCCAGAGCTATGTGTCCCCACCAGTGGAGTTTGAAGCTTTCAGAAAGTCAAGATTCTGAATGTCTAGGTGGATGTCACGGTCAAGCTTAGAGCATCATTAGTCAAGGATCTCCAGAGTCTAGAGGCAATAGGGTTTAGAGTCAGGCCAAGGGGTAGGCTTGTGAGGGGTGGGAGACCCCAAGGACAACATCCCATAGCTCAACTGTCATTCACACACTTGCTCAGCCACTATATATTCACTCACCCTCACAATCAGCTCTCACGTTTTCTAGTTCCATTTCTTCTCTAGAACTAGTTTTCTAGTTCCTTTCTTCTCTCCTTTTCACCATTTTTCTACTTCCCCACCTATCCATCTACTCATCCATCCATCTATCCACCCCTTATCATTCACTTCTCCATCTAGCTATCCATCCATCCATCCACCCAGCCAGCCAGTCAGCTATTCATGTATCTATTTGTCCCTCTATCGACCCATAAATTATCTATCCTTCCACTCATTCATCCATTTATCTACTTACACTCTGTCCATCAATCCATCTACTTACCCATGAGCTCACCACTCATCCATTACCTATCATCCACCCGTCCATCAATCTATCACCCATCCATCATTCACGCGTCTATCTACCCATTCACCTACCTAATAACCCATCAATCATTCATCTTTCTACCCATCCATCTTCTTCTCATCAATTAATTTATCATCTACCTATCTGTTCATCCATCCATTCATTATCCTTTCATCCATCACACCTTCAGAGAGCACCTTCTGGGTACCAAGATGGGTAATGCCTGGTAACAGTACTTATTCTTAGTGGACACTACAAGGTACAGACTGAAATGCCCTCGTTCAGGTGCTAGGAGTTTATTTTTATCCAGGCAAGATCTGGATTTTATCCACCACTGTTTTAGAAGAGGAATAAGCCACATTCATTGTCAATAGCCCAACTTGGGTCACCCCAAACCTAAGATCCTGGAGCATAATACACTACAAGTCCATAGGACAAGACAGAGTGGTTGCCCACAGATCTGCTGTGTGCAATGCAGTGTGGGGTGACCAACAGAATCTGTGACACTTTTTGTTCTGACCACCTTGTTCCCTGTTAGTGAGCACAGGAAAGCCAGTGCATGGGGTCATTCAAGATGCTTTATTACACAAAAAAGAGGGACTCAGAGTCCTGAACATTTAGCATGGGGACAGGTACCCCTTGGATCTGGCTGGGATGCTGGCCTTCTCTCCTCCATCCTTCCTTGGAAGCTCTTGGCTCCTCTAGGGAGTGGTCCCTTTAGCTGATGGTGAGAGGCAGAGTTGCGGGGGGTGGGTTTGATCAAAGAGTGAGAGGGCATAGAAGATGGAGGGTCCAGGAGTGAAAGGAGGCGGGAGTGGCAGCTGGGTTGTTGGAGGCACAAGAGCAGGCCAGACTGGCAACAGGAATCAACTTCTTGGTCAGGGCTGGGAGTGGCTTCTGACTGGAGTCTCTCCTAGGAACATAGGCAAGGGTATGGGATGCATTAGGCTGGGGTTGAAGAAGAGGCACAACCTGTCCTTCTCTATGACCTCTACCTTCCTAGTGTCCATTAGACCTCACCACACCCCTCCTTATCTGGGGAGGCTCCTGCTTACAGTGGTCAGTCTCCTGGGAGACCAGCTCTCAGGCTCAAATCTATTCTGGGCCCAGGCTGGCTCAGGAGGGAATACTGACTACCCACTGGGGCAGCCCTCTTGAACCAAACCCAAAGTTGCCCCAGTTCTTCAAGTCCCAATTTCCTAAAAGTAACCCTGAAGTTTGGAGCAAATGTGGGAAGACCACCCCAGCCCCTGCCAGTGTTAGCTTCTGCTCCAGCAGAATCAGCTCCTCCAGCGGCAGCCATAGGCCTCCTTCCACCCCAAACCAGATGGCCTCCAGTTCAGCCCAGATGCCATTTGTCAGTGTCCTTGCAAACATGTGGCGCCCAGAAACCAAGACAGGCAGCTCGGCCTGGACCACCCCTGGCAGGAGGGCTGTGGGGATATCCCATTCAGCATAGCTCAGCAAAAACTGCTCCCATCTTCCTGCTAATCTACCTCCAAGGATACAGCCTCAGCTTGCCTGAGCCTTTTGGCTGCCACCCCTCACCACTCAAAGCACACGGACGCGCCTGTGGTCAAGCTGGCGACGGCATGGCGCCCCTCACGTGTCTGCAGGCAGCCTGCCCTCCACCACTGTCCGGCAGCTGGCCAGGCACAGGCAGTTTGCTTGTAGTTTATCAGTGGGTCTCTGTTCCCATTCTGTACTACTACAGGTCTGGGCCCAAGCTGGTTCTTGGAGGTAAGGCCAGCTTTATGCAGGCTATCATACAGGACAGATCCCTGAAGGCAGGTTCTAGCCTTTGTCACCCACCAAGTGACCTGGAGCCAGTGTAAGTTCACCTCCACACCAGGGTATGATGAAAGTACCCACAGCGACTAATGTGTAAGGCTAGAAGGTGCTTACAGTATAGGAGAGCCTGGGAAGAAGGCTTCTGGTAGCTGACTCTGCACCTTCTCCCACTTCGGCATAGGACTAGGAAACCACCCAGCAGCCCCTCCTGTGGGCAGGGGAGGGGGCCCAGCCTGACCACTCTTTCTTCCCTCTACCCCAGACCAGAGATGCTCGTTTCGGTTGTGTCGACACCCATGGGAGCATGTGGCCCAAGACCTGAGGCCCCCCATGGGCCTCCACCACCCTTGCTGCCCAAACCTGGAAAAGACAACCAGAGACTTCAGAAGCTACTGAGAAAAGCCGCTCGGAAGAAGACGGTGGGAACAATCCCCGCCCCACCTGGGGCCTTCCGTACCTCCCTGTCCCCCGTGAGTGAGGCCAGTCATGACCTGGAGACCACCGTCCAGCGTCCTGCCGAAGCCCCTCACTTGGTGGTTCCCCTGCCCCGCTCACCACATTTCCCTATTGTTCACCACGTGGCCTCGCCCCTACAGAAGTCCACTTTCTCTTTCAGTCTTCCTCAGCAAAAGTCCCTGACAACTCATTTCAAGGCACTGCCTAGGCTTGAAGCCCCAACCCCAGAAACCGCCTGGTCTCGCAATGGCTTTGCCCATGTATCTGCCCCTACAGCGGCTGGTACCCACATCACCCAAGTGCATATCCGGCTGTCACCATCCTCGCATACTGGGACTTCTGAGTCCCCCAGGATGGCCCTGGACGGGGATAAAAGCCTGCGTAATTCTCATACCCAGCCTCTCATCCCAGTAGCACATATTCGCCCCCTGCCCACCGGGATGCAGGCAGTCAGTCCTGGGCCTGAGGAGCCCCCTGTAACAAGGCCGCCACCCAGCTTTCAGGCCTCAGCATCCAGAGAGTCAGGGGCTCGAGTGGTGGTGCCCATAGCCCCTACCTACCGCTCATCTGGACCCTCACCTTATAGCCCAGCTCCTGCAGCTCCTGAAGCAGAACAAGTAGAGGAGCTGCCCACAGCCAGGCTTGCCATGGAGCCCAAGCAGGTCTCCAACCTCCCAGCAGCCTCAGGTCCCTCGGGCCTCCCCCCATGCCCTGTTCCCAAAGTTGCACCCAAGCCCTGCCTTAGTGGTTGGACACGCCTGAAGAAGCAACTGATGGAGGACGCAGAGCAGCCTGCATTTCCAGAGCCGGAGCTGAGTGTGGAGTCTATGCCACCGGAGGTGTCAGCCCCTATGGGCCCACAGCCCCCTGCCTCCAGGGCCTCTAGGATGTGGGATGCAGTGCTGTACCGCATGTCACTGACTGAGTCCCGTAAAAGCCACCCTGTGGGGCCCGGAGATGGGGGACACCCCCCGGCCTGCCTCAGTCGCCTGCCTTTTCTGTACCGACCTCGCTTCAATGCCCGGAAGCTACAGGAGGCTGTCCGGCCTGCTCCTACACTGCACCCCATCCTGGAGCTACACTCCCAGCCCAAGAACTTCAACCGGACAGCAGCAGGTTGGAGGCTCCAGTGATGTAGCCAGAGTGGCCTCCCATACTCCGGACTGTGGTGGACAGAGACTGACTGAGGCTGAGGATACAGAGAGAGGGTCTCAGTCCTCACAAGTGAACACAATGGGTCAGGATAGTGCATGGCCATGGAAGCTGGCTGCTGGCTGCTCAAAGGAACCTATTGGATAGACACAGATGAGTTGGTGGGAGCGCAAGTGGCAAGTGAGAGAGGTGGATGAAGTGGGGAGCATGTAGCCGGAGGCAGTTTGGGGTTGTGGAGGAGAATACAAGTTGGATGGTGGGAGCCTGACCTCAGGACCAGGGTTCATAGAGGACTCTAGGTCCGGTGCAAGCTGGTTTGGGTGAAGGGTATTCAGAAGTACGCAGGACTGGGCAGTGGAGAAAGGATGTTCTATGGCCTCATGTGTGTCTCTTCAGGGCTTACTGGGCAGGACTACACTGAGGGCAGGGTTTAGTGCAAATCATAACCAAGTTTCAATAGTTGGGTAAGGACAGGTCAAGCCAGAGGGCTATAAAGAGGCAGAAGCCAGGCACTAGAAGGGACTCCATCCCTAAGATCTGCCCAATTCTGATAGAACATCAGCTGTGAGAGGAGGGACCCAAAGGAGCCACAAGAGGCTTTCCATCACAGCCACCATAACAGGATTCAGCAGGGGTTGGGCTAGAAGTCCCGCCTGGAATATGATGGGTACTATGGCTGTGGACAGAGCTACCAATAAATGTATGTATACCCACACAGGCATCACCTCTGTGTTTTTCATGGGATAGGGAATGCAGCAGAGTCCCTAGGGGCCTTCAGCAGGGCAAAGGGGCAAGTCAAGGTCCCACCTCCTTTACTGGATGTATGATAGCCCACACTTTTAGATGCTGTGCCACACTCAGTTTCTCCAGGGCCGACTCACACTATCATGAGTCTCACTGGATATGGTAGGAGTTCCAAAATGGAGTTTGAGTCTCCTATGAACAGTACTGGGCCAACCTGATCCTGCTTGAGGGGAGAGAGTTCTAGGCTTCAGAGAGCCAGGAAGACAGCTGGTAGCCAGACAAGATATAGCAACTCTAAGGCCAGGTCTTTAGCCCTCAAGACTTAAGATATGGCCCATCTATGCCAATATGCTCCCGGGGGACCCATTTTGTCATGTTTTGGTCCTTTGACTCACCAAGATACATACATGATCTATGGCGCTGGGGTGTCATCCACAAGCACTTTCTCATACTTCCCATGTCCAGTGGCCACAAACTTGTACCTCTTTCCAGATGGGGTGCTCTGTTAGGTGAGACTAAGCGTCAAGGAGATAGCTATAGCAGGGGGATGCTGCTGTCTCCAGGAAGTCTTTGAGGATGGGATGCAGACGCCGCCATCTTGACTTACTAACCTTGATGGTGGATGAGGTCTTTGAGCCTCCTTTCTGCTCCCACAGGCTTTTCTTGCTCATGTCTCCAGCTACAATATCCTGGGGGTGGACACAGGGCAGGGTCTATCACAGGACAGATGCGGGCCAAAGGGCCTTTTCTTCTGCCTGACATTAGCTGACTGGAAGGTCAAGAACCTGCCCACCTCACTCTTGGCAGGGAGGAAAAGAGAGTCCTACTGCCTGTTTATTAGGACAACATGGATTTTTCCTTGAGTCCTGAAGCCTCACATCCACACTTCACCTTGGCTACCCCAGGTTTGCTTTTCCAAAGAGAACCACCCACCCACCCCCACGATGGCCAATTTCCCATGCTCTGCCTCCCCAGTTTGGTCTGCCTGGAGAGGAATCCTACCTGGCAGGAGGGTGTCTTGGAAGCCGACTGAGTCTGCACCTCTCCTGTCTCCCAACGAGTCTTGGTACTGGCCACAGCCATGCTGGGCAGCTCTATGGAGGGCTGTCGGGACAGCTTGGGAGTTCGACCAGCAGACTGCAGAGGAGACAGAGCCCTGAGACAGTCACCATGGTAGGCACCAGCAGCCTTTGCTCATCTTTGTGTTTGCTGGAGGTAGGGATTGTGGACAGATGTGCTGTCCTTTATTTGGTGCCCCATGAGCTACCCCCACTTCTGAAGAACATAGGAGACACAATGTCATATGGGTTCTACTTTATGCTACACATTTGGGGGCTGGAAGCGCATTGTCTGGATGGAGTTTATGGGTTAGATGGAGAAGACTTTTTGGTGTGATGGAAGGTGCTGGCTAGATGAAGGGGCATCAAATGAAGAACAGGGCTGATGGAGGGATGTTGTTGAAGAACATGGGCTTTGTTAGACCGAGAGAGGATTGGCCGCATGAGGGTGTGTTGTATGGTGGGAGGGGCATTGGTGGGATGGGTGTGTGACAGGACAGAGGCATGCCTACTGTAATGTGAGAGACCTAGGGTAGACAGAAGAGTGATGTGAGTTGAGGGAAGGACACTGTACAGTAGAGAGGGGTATGATGGAATGGAGAGAGGAGCTTAGGTGGATGGCTGATGATGGCTATTAAAGAGGAGGCTTGGCCTCGGAGAACCGAGTATACTTTACCTCAGTGGCCTGGGTATACTGCTGCAAGCGCTCATCAATAGTGGAAATGGGCAAGGTTGGCTGGGACTTCTTCACACTGTTGCTGGGGGTAGAAGAGAGGATAAGTCTTATGTTCCTTTCTAATGTCCTCCCAGCCCACCCAGAGCCCCTTCCAGGGTACCACGTCCCCCGATCTCAGTCCACAGTTGCTATCCCAGAATGCCAGAAAGAAGAGAGACACACCTCTTCTGTATGGAGCGATTCAGGGACTCCGTCCTATCTGCCAGCTGTGGAGGGTGCACAGAGTGTGGTCATGGATAGACACACAAGGCCCAAGTTCCATCCTTCAGTGTCTCCCCACTGACCCATCCCCACTTCCATATCACAGGGGTTTATCAGTGCAGCAGGGGATGGATGAAGAGAACATGAACAGTGGACACAAGCAGGGAGAAAAGGGATGCTCAGGCATCACCTACTTTGGTGGTGGGGCTTAGGGGAGGTGAACTCAGTTCCACAGTCTCTTCCAAAGCCAAAGGGCTGGGGGTCCTGGCCGGATGACTTGTCAGGTGCTAGGGATAAGAAACACAGGCAGCTTAGATGACCTCTCCCCCTATGCCCTACTACCCCACCCAGGGCCTCTCTGAGTGGCCTCTGGGGCCTCAGGCCTAGTCTGGCCCTGACACGCTACAGCTCTGGAATCCCCGGCTGCGGGAAGAATCTCTTGGTCATCGGAGAGGAACTTGCCCAGAGGGTCACCAGCTTCGCCACCCTCCAAGAATGTGTTCTGGAAGGTCTCAAGGACAGCGTCGGGGAGTGACGTCTCCTATAAGCCAGTCTAGGAGGCCACAGCACCCCTGCAGTATCACAGACCTAGCCCTCATCTCTTACCTCATCTGTCTCCCCAGAATTTCCAACAGCATCCTCTGGATTATGGTCTCCCTGGCTCAGGCACAACTTCTCTAGGTGAACATTGGTTTGGTGAGAACTGTGGAAGAAAAGAGAGGCAAACTTAGTTGTAGGAGAACATCTGCTGCTTGGTTCCAGGCAACTTTCAGTTCCAAGCCTTAGGTATGTCATCTGTAAAATGGGAGCAGTCCAATTGAGTTGGTCCACAAGGCTCTTAAGACCCCAGTGATTAAAAAACATTAGTGTTTATTTAAAGAGATAGGGGTGTTTCGGAGGACAACTTGGGGGAGTCAGTTCTCCTTCCTCCATGTGGGTCCTGGGCCTATACCACAGGATGCTAGGCTCAGTGGCAAGCACCTTTAACCATGGAACATCTTGCAGGTCTAGCCATGGCACTTTTATAGAAGGATATGTATGTGCACTGTACTAGGGACTCTGTGCCGAGAAGCCCTAGAAGGCTCCCTTGAAGGAAGACATTAGCTACTGCTCACTCACTGAATAGGGCTGCCCAATTGCTGAAGCTGGACACGTCCTGCAGCCCTCTATCTGGACAAGTCCAGTTTCTGGGGGCTTTTGCCTTGCCCATATATGGGCAAATAGAGCAGCAGAACACAACATTGAGGAATGGTCACTGGGGGCCCAGACCCAGAGTGTTTGGGGGTGCTGGATTAGCGGGTGGAAGAAGCTAGGGAAGGGACTGCATTACTGAGGTGAGGGGCCTTGGGGAGGGGCAGCTAGCCAACGGGCAGCTGGGCGTGACTCTTCATTCGAGTGGCTCTGAACCTGGAGGAGAAGATAGTAAATTCTTGTATTTTCCATGATGTCAGGTCCCTTGGTGTATGTGCCAGCCAAAACCCAAACCCACCGCCCAAGGTGGGCTGGGGTTGGAGCCAGCAGCAGCCACACAGAGGGGCCATTCAAGAGCTGGCGCGGACCAGGCAGCCAGGCGGGTTTGAGGGTAGGGTGGAGGCTGCAAGGCCAGAGCTCTGCCGGAAGATCGAAAGTGCCCCCTGCTGTTGAGCCAGAGAAGGGAGTGCGCTGAGGGCAGGGCTGTAGCTGCCTGCCTAGAAACTCAGAATACGCACAAAACACACAGGCACACGGGGGAAATTGAGGCTGGCAATGGGCAGACCTAGGATAGTTGGCAGTGAACAGCCTCAGAACCAGGGCCCCAGAAAAACAGGGGTTTTGGAATGCAGAGGGCGATTGAAACTGAAGTTCATTAAATGAGAACGAGAAAGAGCTGAGCTGAGTTCTTGCTGGCCCAGGGGCCTCTGAGGGGCCAGAATGGGGCTGAATCACTGAGGAAAAACAGCTCAGCCTTTGGCTCTGGCCCACTCAAGGCAAAGGGGGCTCCAGAGCTGCTTAGCAGGGCCAGAGACCCTCACTACCCAGGCCTGATGGGATAGGCAGTCTTATCTTCACACCTGGCCCTGATCTGGGGGAAAGGCAAGGTGAGACGTCATCAGCAATCCTTCATCTCCGGACCCAAGGGGGCTTTGGACCCCCATTCGTCCTGATTTAGACAGGCACACACGTCCACACATCTGGAAAGCGTGTCCCCTGGGCCGCCTCACAGGCGCACATCTGGAAGTACCTGCTCCCCTTCGTGGGAATGGAGTTCAGCCAGCCTGGGGAGGGCGGGCGGGCGTGGGCTGCAGCGCCTACATTACGTAAGTGGGCCGCAGCTGTGTGCTGATGTGGCAGCCCCCCACCCCTGTTGGCCGCGGCTGGTCAGGATGGGGCCCCCAGCCCTGGGGAACCCAGGAATGCAATATCTTCATTGCTTTCTCCCTGTGGCCCCCTCACTGGCCACCCTGCTGTCTATCTCCCTTTTTTCCTACCTCCCTACCCGCTTCACAACGTCTGAGCATTTGGGGGGCCTTTTGGGGAAGGGTAGACAGAAAAGAATTATCTAGGCCCAGGCTGGGTTCAGAAAGAGCCAGTGCCCTGCCCAGCCTGGTCCACACTTGCCTGTCCTCTGCCTGCTTCTTCTCTGGACTCTCATTTTGAGAGGGCTCACTACCCTCTGCAGTCCCCTCGTTCCCCCAGGTTTGCTGCCGCTGCTCCACTTTTTGGGACCAGTCACCAAAACCCTCATCTTCATCCAGTTCAGAGGACTTTAGCCTGAGGCTGAAAGAGCAGAGGAAAAGAGGGTTAGAAAAAGATGCCACAGTCTATGTTCCTTTCCTTGTCTCTTCCCTTAGACCCGGACTTCCAGAGTGAGCCATCTGCTTCAGAGATGGCTCTCCATGACTACATTCTGTCTCTTTGAGGTCAGAGAATCATCCAGGGTAGAGCTGTGCCTTCTCCAGCAGCCTACAGCTTTCCAAGAGCAGAGTTGTGCTTTCCCTGTCAGTCTAGGGCTCCCTGGGGGCAAAGCTATGGCTCCACCATCAGTCTCGGGTTCCATGAGGACAGAACTATGGCTCCACCATCAGTCTAGGGCTTCCTGAGGACAGAACTATGCCTCCCCCATCAGTCTAGGGCTTCCTGAGACAGAACTATGGTTCCACCATCAGTCTAGGGCTTCCCAAGGACAGAACTATGGTTCCACCATCAGTCTAATGTTCCTTAAGGGCCAGACTATGTCTTCCTCATTAGTCTAGGATTCTCTGAGAGCAGAGATGTGCCTCCTCCTTCAGTCTATGACCTCCCAGAGAGTAGGACTATGCCTCCACCATCAGTCTAGGGCTCCCTGAGGGCAAAGCTATGGCTGCACTATCAGTCTAGCACTCCTTGAGAGACAGGCTATTCCTACCTCATTAGTCTATGACTCCTCCAGAGCAGAGTTATGCCTCCTCCTTCAGTAGAAGGTTCTCTGAGAGTAGGGCTATGCCTCCCCCATCAGTCTAGGGCTCTTTGAAGGCCAGGCTTTACTGCTCATATTAGTTTAGGGTTTCCTGAAAGCAGAGATATCCCTTCCCATCAATCTAGGTCTCCCTAAGAACATACATAGCTTTGCCTCTTCTTCCAAGCTAGGGCTCCCCAAAAGCAGAGCTCTGTTTCCTTCTTCAGTCTAGGACTGCAGGAGAGAGGGTGTGCCTTCCCCCATCCATCTAGGGTTCCTTGAGGCTGCTGTGGTTCTCAGGCTGGGTCTCACAGCCTTTCTCAAGGATCAGGGTGAGCTATGGGGCAAGAAAGGGCTGGGGGCTAGCAAGGACCCAGTAACTGAAGACCTGACTGAGAGGCCATGACCCCTGCAGCACCCCACCCCGCCCAAAGCTGCTGACTTCGAGAAAATGGAACAAAACAGGGCCAGGAGGAAGGGGAGAGTTATTGGAAAAACAGCCCAGCCCAGCCGCGGAGGCCTCCTGGGCCCGAGGAGGAAACGAGCCGGCCTGTAGCCGCCAACTTGGACGTGGCCTCCGTGAGTCACTGGCAGCCAGGAGTTTGGGCGGGGGGCTTGGGGGCCAGGGCCTCATGGCTGGGGTCAGCACCAGTCCAAGCCAGGGCTGGAGACATTCAGGGTGTCCAGAGCCTGAGTCAGGGCCCCTGGAGGCTGGTTGGAAGGGGAGGGCCTCACATAACTTTATGGACCCTCTGGCTAGTCAGCATCGCACAGATGGTGTTTACTGGAGACTGCAATGACCTTTGTCCTAAGAGCTGGTCCCTTCCTCTAATTCCTACACTGTGGCTCTAAGTCCAAGGCCTGACTCCCCCAGTATGTGCTTCTTCCCAGGTCCTGTGTGGCAGTAAATTGGGGTCCAGGACCCAGCAACCTACAGTGTTTGCTGTCCTGTCTGCTCCAGGGAACGATCACCTTCATCTTCATCTTTGTCCTGGTCCTGCAGCTGCTTCTCTCGTTCTCGTTGGCGCTGTTCACGGGCAGCCTCTTCTTGGTCTTCTTCTTCCCACTGAGCTGTGAGCCTGGAGGGGCAGACCCAGAGAGACAGTCATGCCACACGACTGAGACAGTCTTGCGATGAGTGGGATGGTGAGGGTAATGGACAAGCCCTGCTGTCGGCAGGCAAAGGTAAATCCCTGGACCAGTCTGCAGGCCTCAGTTTATTCTAAGATGAAGGCTGTGCAAAGCAGTTGTGAAAGTGCCTTTGTCCAAGGGGGGTAATCCCAGAGCTCTGTACACATAGGTGAGCCTCTGCGAAGAGAGGAGACATCGGTGTCCACATAGGTTTCAGGCAACCCAATGTTGGGGTTGGTGACCAACCGTCCTGTCATGCTGGCTGCCTCCTATGTTAGAACATAGTTACCTTGTTCAATGTGGGGACCAAGAAGGACTTTGGGAAAGGTGACAATGAGTTCAGAGAGAGTCTTAGTCACGGCCACCAGTCAGATAGCTACCCCTACAATCTCCACCTGGAACCCTCCTTCCTGCCTCCCAAAAATGGCGTGTTGGGAGACAGTAGCCACCACACAGGGACCAAGTGTGAGATTGTGTCTAGAAGCCACCAGGTCAGGCTCTCTTTGTCATCCGTCCAGCTCCTTCCTCTCTCTACTTTGCACTTGGTACCTTAGAGCACCCCAGCCTCAACCCAGGGTCCTCTCCACAGAGGTCTTCCTGGGTTATTTCAAAGGTGGGGAAACTGAGGCAAGCAACAGCTGCATCCCTCAGAATATGCTAACTCAGGCTTCTTAGAATTCCTTTCCCTAAGCCGGGCACAGTCAGAGGAATCAGGCTGGTCTGGGCCCGGGGCTGGGGTGGGGGCAGGTTCTGGAGACCCTACACAGCAAACCTGTGTTGCTGGTGTCTAGTAGATACCGCAGGCCTTCGCTACTGTTACCCCCAAAAGCCCCTCCAGCTTGTCTGGAGTTGAGAGGGGTCGGGTCCTCTGCTTTACAGTTTCCACTGCCCCAGGACCAAGGTGCCCGAGCTGCTCAGAGCTGAGTCTCCCTTCTGGGGTCTCTGTGCTTCCCGGGCAGTGTCCGCCGAATGACCCCACAGCCCGCTCCCCTCTGGGCCTCAGTCCCCTGGCCAGGAAGCCCTGCCAGCACATGATCTAATCTCTCCAGGTCTCCCCTAAGCCTCTCAGACAAAAGCCAGGCCTCTCCACAGGCTCCAGGATGAGGTTCACTCCTCCCTCATCCCCCCACCACCTCCCGCCCGCCAGCCACATGGGACTCCAGCCACGCAAGCTGCCTACCCGCCCCTACCTTGCACCCCCAAACCGAGCTGCCTGCCTCAGCCTCAGAAGGGCCTTCAACTTCCAGCCTGAAAAAGCCCCTTAATTCCCTACACCTGGCTCCCATCACAGGCAGATGCCGAGGGCCTCCTGGTCTCTCCGTGGCCTCAGCCAATGTGGGGGCCGCTTTTGGCCCCTCTCCACCCGGTGAAGTACAGCTCTGTGCTCTGGAGGCTGTAGATTGCTCCTTGCACACACGTTTACCAGCAGCCCCCCAAAATGTCAGGGCACAGTGTATGGGAAAAAGAGGGCTTCCTACTCTGCCTGCTTTCTGAGGCAGACCATAAAGAGATACCCCCTGGGGTGGTTTCGTCCTTGCTTTCTGAATCTATGTATGTGCAGAGTAGGTATACATGTGTTTGAGCCCATGTGCAAAGTTCTTGTGTGTGTGAAAGCACTCAAACACTTGGGTGGCTGTGTAAGACTGAGACAGGGGTACAGGACTCACTTAGCTCAGCTCTGAGTATGGATATCTTGAATTGGGGGCTCTCACTCTGAACAGGACCAGAGCCTCTCTTGTTCTACCAGGGGCAACCTCCCTGCAAGCACAGTTATGGGCAGGACCCCTTGGGGTCCTTCATTCTTGGAGCAGAAAATCCAAGCTACCATAGCTTTTCACCAACACACAAAGCCCAAGGAAAGGGGCTGTGGGGGCTTGGCTTGCAGCAAGTATAGGGACCAAACAGTTCTTTCCTGAGCAGGGTACAGGACACATAGACATTTCATGTGGCCACATAGGCACTCACACACAGGCCCTCCCACGCACGTGCTCACACATGAGTACACAGGGTCACCCTCCAACATGTGCAGGCAAGGGTAGGGAACAGGGGATCACAAACAGCAGGTCCCATTCCCTCCCAAGCTCTCAGGGGGCCGCCCCTGCCTCAGTATTTACTGTTTTCCTAACCATCACCCCGACAACGTGGTGCCGGCCTGAGCCTGGGGCTGGCAGGAGGCCAATGTGTATTTTCTGGGAACATCCTTTGTGGGACTCACCCCCTCCAAAGTTACCCTAACTTAGCCCTCCCTGAACAAAGTCTTAGTGACAGTGGGGTGCAGGATAGGGGTCTACCAGCATCACCCCTCCAGCCCCTTGCTGGAGAAAAGCTTGTCCCAGCTCCTGACCCTGCTCTGAGGCTGAGCAGGCCTGGGGCCCCTTTCCCCTGCCTCTTCCCTCCCGCCTGCCTCAAGCAATGAGTAATGCGCCCCCTCCCCATGACCTCACCCCGTCGCTATTCCACAGCTGGGCTCCGTTCTGGGAACTGGAAGGGGGTGGCTCTCCTGGGGTGGGGTGGGGTGGGGGCCTCTGGCCTGGGAAAGGCGCCCCCCGGCCAGCGGCCCAGACCCCTTGGCACGTTCTTCGGAGCTGTCAAGACTCTGGCGATGGCCGCCCCGCCCGTGGCCCTGGCCCCGCGCAGCTGCAAGGGATTTGGCGTTCCCGTACAAACGCAATCAGGCCATTTCCTGAGTCTGTTCTGGCTCGGGGGGCCCAGGGCTCAGCCTAGGGGCTGAGGAATGGGGCCCTGTCCCCCCACATCCTGCCCACACTGTTACAGGGTTTACCGCAGGCTGGGGCTGGGGTTGGAGCTCAGCCTGGGGCTGGAGCCCCACCCAGGTGCACTAGGCTGTACAGACCCCCATCAGCTCCCACTCTGAATGGGGCTCTTTAACTCAAGGCAGTTGCTCCTGTCTTTTGCACCCCTACACAGTATCTTGTTCCTCTTCATCCTCTGCACCCCTGCCCCCTCTCCTGCTGCCTAAACCCTGCTGAGAGCCTAGCAGTGCCCATCCTGGATCTAGCGCTCCCAGCTACCCACCCTCTTTGTCTTCCCAAGGATACTTTGAAAAGGTTGACAGGCTTCAGTCCCTGTTGCAATTCTGCCCCCTGCAGGCTGCCCATATGACTGCCCCTTGCAGCCAGCTTGAGCCCAGTATCCGTACTGTTCCTACACCCTTCAGGGAGACACTAGAGGGGACTGGGGAGTGGGATCAAGCAAGTCTATCCCAGGTGACTTTCAGATTACAGGGGCCCCTCCCACCACTGTCTCCTGGGTGCCAGAGGACTGGAAGTAGCTAGAGGACTGGGGGGCAGCCACCAAGAGGAGTTGATTTGATTCTCTAAGACCACCAGGGTCTCTTGCCACCAGGAGAGTAGTTTCCTCAGGGTCACAACACTACCCATCAGGGGTTCACTTGACCTGAAAGTGGCAGCATAGCATTGGACTAAGGGACAGAGCAAAGAAAACCCTCCCAAGCAGGCTCCCAACGATAGGTGCAGAACTCTGAAGGTGGGACTCAGGGTCAGCCGCGAGTGATGGCTGTAGGCTACCACCCACATCCCACACTTCTGAGTACCAGTCCCTGTAGCTGCTATCAGCAGGACACATGGAGTGTTGGATGTAGGGGTCCCATTCCCTGCAGACAATCTACAGAATGGTGTGGGGGTACAAATACTCAATTGCCACCCTCTCTGGAAAGAAGCACAGAGGTGGGTGTGTGAAGGGAGCTCAAATCAGAGGGCAGAGCCTCTGGTTAGTAGGTGAGTGCTAGGTGGGACAAGCAAGAGAGTACAAATTCTCTCCCTGAGGCTAAGGTGGCAATAGAGGAGCCTGGTCCCTACCCCTGGACACCTGGCTCCGGTCCAGTCCCCCCCTTCATCATCTTTTAGCAGAGCATGGACATGGTGGGGTTATTCTTTTTTTTTTTTCTGTCAGGGTCAATGTACCCAGGGATTATTTCACTGGGCAAGATCATGTCTCCACCACCCAGAAAAGCACTATAATTACTTGGTTGAAGGGAGGGGGGGCATGATCTTGCCCACAGCTGTAAAGGATGAGTGAACCTTTAGGCCAGAGAGAAGGAGACTGACACAAAGTCAAATGGAAAAGAAGCCTGTGGGCCCCAGAGGGACTCCGTGACCCACAGGGTGGCCCTTGAGGTGTGAGTTGATCCCACACCCAGGAAGTCCTGGTTCTGTTTTGGGAGCTAGTGGGGAAGGATGGGGGTGGGAGGGGGGATGAGATGCAGGCCAGAAGGAAGTGGGAGAGAGAAGCCAAGCCTGGGCCAAGCTGGGAATGGGGGACAGGAAGTGGCTTTCAGAACAGCCCAGGATCCATGACATGTACAGCAAGACCTGGGCCTCAGTTGGGAGGGACAACGAATGGGGATTTGCAGCATGAGACGAAAAGGCCCCTGGAGACAGTCAGTACTAGGTCATGGCTGTAGGAAATGCCTCCCCAGGGTAGAGATTTTTAAGGAGCCCCACAGAAGCAGCCTGGGTATGCCAGAGGTGGGGGGTGGGGTAGATGGCACAGGGCAGGCTGAGTTTCCAGACCTGGTCCCCAAGTCTTTCCAACCCAGGGCACTGCCCAGGTCTATATTCAGTCCACTGTGGGAAAAACACCCAGGTTAATACCAGAGGCTCAGCCGCAGTGGCTCATATTCCCAGGATGCTGCCCTTGGTCACAGGTAATCTGGACAGCCAAGCTTGCCTCTGGGATCAGTACTTCCCACTTTAAAGATTCAAGTCCTCTATTCTGTGAGAGTACTTGGTTTGCCCTGCCCTCAGAACACACAAGCAGCCCACGTTCTTGGGACGTGGTTAGTGGTATCAGTACAAGCAACAGTTCTGAAAGTTCATGGTGGCCAAGCCTAGGGGCGGGCCTTGGGAAGATTAAAAAGTGCAGATTGGTTGGCTGGGGCTATGGGAATCACAGAAGGTTCTGGGCC